CCTGAATTTTGCTAAAGGCTCATTACTCCACAAACAACTTTTCAAACTATTATAATTGTTTGGGCTTTCCTGAAATCCAGATTTCTGGGTTAGTGGAATTGGGGGTGAATCTTTTCCTGGTGTTCTAGAAGACAGTGAGAACACTGGAGGTCCAGAGAGAAAGAGGACAATATGATATGTGGGACAGGCACGGGAAATTGGATATTTATATTTTGAGCATAAGAGAAAGTTCTGGAATAAAAATTAACATGGGCTACACATACGGGAAAACTTTTCAGAACCCTCATGCACTGTTTGTTTGGAAGTTAAATGATGTAAATGATGTGGAGAACAATTTGGTGGTTCCTCTAAAAGTTAAACACAAATCTATTGTGTCTAATTATAGCTTTACTGCTGTAACCCAGCAATCCCACTCCTAGGTATATAATCCAAAGTAAAGGCCCAAATAAATGCACGCATATGGTCATGGCAGCATTTCACAATCGCCCTGAGGAGGAAATAGCCCAAGTGTCCACCAGCAAAGGAATGTTAAGTGTGGACATACAGAGAATATTATGTGGTCTCAAAAAGGAATGAGTTACTAAAAAAAAATAAAAATAAAAAAGGAATGAGTTACTGACAGAAGCAACTTGGATAATAAACCTGGAAACATTTAGCCGAGTCCTACTTATCTACAATGTCCAGAACAGGGAAATCTGGAGCTAAGGAAAGTAGATTCGGGGTTGTACATAGCTAAAGCGTATGTTTTTTTCCTTGAGGTGACAGCAATATTCTGTCCTTGACTGAGATGATGGCTGAATATGTTTAAAACCACTGGAAACTACTGCATCGTATCCTTGAAAGGGGTGAATTATAGGGCCCTCAAGCTGCTTCCGCAGATTCTGGAGTTACTGAGAAAGTGTTTTCCTCACTTCTCTGTAAATGTTTCCTCACTCTCTTGTTGCATTTAGGACTGCAGTTGAGAATTCTGAAACTTAAAAAGTATTTTGGGGGTTGTGAGTTACAGAAACCCAACTCAAACTAGCTTGGGCACAAAGAGGAACATTGTAGAACGGGATCAGATGGACATGGTGTAGAACGGAAGAGGGGTAGCTTCCCAAAGGAAGGGATGCTTGGTAGCCATCTGACAAGATGGTTCAAACATTTCATTTTTACTTCTTGTTGTTGGTTGCTGCATTGTTTGAGCCCAGTGTGGCTGCCACTGGCCAAGCCATCTCTTTGGGGGTCTCCCTCTTTTTCGCTGTCCCTCCACTTTACCAAGCCTGAAATAGACAATTATAAGACTGAAAACTTCAGCCTTGGTTAGGAAATCATAATCCATGCTGAAATTGTATTTAACAAGAAGTGTTGAGATAAAGAAGGCATTGGCAGAGATGTCCAAGAGCCCTGTGTTAGCCATTACTCCTTGTTTAGCTAGAAAGATTTGCAGGCAGTTAGTAAAAATTAAAGTTAGAGAGCTATACCTTGTCATCACAAAGATGTTTCTATGAGAAGGAAACAAAGCATTCCAGCATCTGTGAGATTGGTTTTAATATATATCTTCCAAAGACAGCTGACTTAAAACCTTGAGAATATGTCTGACAAAATGCTGGTGACATGACAGAAAATTAGACTTGTTCGTTTAATGTTACAAATGGTATTTGTCATAAGAGATTGAATTTGTTCAGCTGTCATCTAGTAATGAACTTGTTATGACCTCAGTAATCTTATCATTAACTCAATCAGCATAATTAAAATGGTGTGGCTTCCCTGACGTTAGCAATAGTATCTGGGTTTCTAAAGAATCCGTTCTGCTCTATTTGATTTGAAAATGTCATTATTTTTTCCTTACAGCAAGAATCATTCCCACCCCCTCCACACACAGAGTAAGACAGGGATGGGCAACTTGGACATTGGCTACCCAAAATGGGGGTGGGGGGCTACAAAGGCAAGAAGTGACTGGTTTGCAAGCTTTCAAGAGGGAACCTAGATCCAGAGGGCCTGGAGGAAGGTAGAATCTCCAGTGAATAGTATTCAATCTATCTAAGCGGGGCTGATGCAACGAAATGCAGACAGGTCTCTTGTGATAAAATAGTGAATAATTGTTATCAGGACTGATCGTGAGGGTCGGAAATGTAAAGGTAGA